TGTTAAGTTGTTTGATGTAATTTATTACATGAATTCAGAAGGTCCTTGAATTATGTACAACCAAGTTATTCTACACTAATATAGAGGACACAAATTAAAAAAAGCAGATAAATGATAATTCATTTTCATTCTATTGAATTCTCAGACGAGAGTTTAAGATATGCTAAACATTATAAAGTACTTACGAAAAGGTTGTAGTCCTACGGATGTATGAATGAAACGATTTTCTTGTAGACAACATTTTAAGTACATGTATTGTGTAAATTATCAGTATTTGATGGTTTAAGCAAAACTTTTATAGACGTGCTTGTTTTAACTCTTAATAATGCTACATAAAGCTAACCATGACAAAAAAAAAAAAAAAAGGTTTTGGAAGATACAAACAAACACAATTAAGTGTTTGACATTGTGCTTTATTTATCGTCATTACAATTCATGGTCCAATAGGAAATTGAGTTCTTTTAAATGGAATTGCATTCCGACCCATCTTAAGAGGTATAAAAGGAATTCTCCACGGCACTCGCCAGTTGTAATTTCAGCAAGAATTATATTATTCTCAAATTTTGGACAAGTAAGGTGTGTTCCATTGCATAACCCCTCAGAAGAATTGATATTTCGCAATAAAATCACGAAAAAAATTTACTCAGAACTTCAATTCATGTGACGAAATATCATTTGAGGTCAAACTATTTAAGAAATCTTCCTGCAGGCTCTATTCTGATTTGTCAATTGTTTCATCAAAATTATAATATGTGAAAATTTGATCTAGAATTTTGTTCTAGTAAAATTCTGTTAATAGGATCAACACATTCATTTGTAGACGTAAGAATAACCCATTTTGTCATCGTATGTAAATTATCAACATATACTTCTATATTTGGAACAAGATGATTTATTTTATTTTTTAAAGATGTAATTTCATCATCAAATGGTAGAATAGTACTTTTTGGAAGCTCAATGCAGTTACAAGTATGTTCTTGCTCCGTTCCATCTCCAATTTTAAGCAAATAATCACAAAACGATAACTTTGCCCTTATTTTCTCCATCAATGGTAGATGTATATACAAAGGCCATAAGTCAAAAAAGACTAAGCCAACTTTCATTATATTTTCTTAATATTTCCTTAAGGCATTACCAGTAGAATTTGTTGAAAATCTCCTTCGAAAACGATAACTTTCCCACCAAAAGCAAATTGCAATAGGTAATATCTCTGAACATTTTATATACAACTTCAACAACAGAACGATTTACCATATGTGATTCATCCCAAATTATATACTTAGGTATTTTCAACAAAGTTCCTAAAACTGATTGCTTGCTAATGGAGCAGCTAACTTCACCAACCATTTCCAAATGAATTTTAAATCTTGAATGAGTTGTCCGACCTCTAGACAATAGAGATATAGATACTCCAGAAGACGCAGTTGCTAAAACAATTAAATTTTGAGACCTCACACTAGCAAGGAATGCTGTATATAAAAGAGTTTTACATGTCCCACCTGGACCATCGATGAAGAAAGCACCACTCAGTTCTGATTAAACTTTTTTCATGATTGTATAGTACGCAAATTGTTGTTTTTCATTATTTAAGCTTGTTGCACAAACATACCCTTCTTCAATATCCAAATTGGTTGTCTCATTTATAACCATTCTTCTCAATCTTTCATTCTTATCTATATTTACACTGAAATGTACTATTACATAGTCATTTATGTTTTTACCCAATGATTCTAGAACAGAACTAATGTCTTGTAGAGCCCGTAGTTTAGCAACTTCCACACGAGTATTTTCATATACATAATCATCAATCATATAAGTTATGAATATATCTCACAATAATTTTGGATGATCAGGGTTGCAAAGCATAAGAAGTGTAGTAAATAGACATCTTAAAGAAACTGACATTTTCTAAATATTAGCTTCATATAGACATTTTTCACAGTGATTGTCTCTACTTAATAGACCATGTAAAAGTGCGACTTCTTGATATGTTGTAACAGTTATCCCATTCGAAGTTCATATATCCTGAAATGATATTAGCCCTCGAATGTGATTAAGAAGAATGCAGAGGAAATATCGTTATCCTTCAGAAGGATTGGTTATGACAATTCATCCTATAATAATTTATTTCTTTTTTCGAGTCCAAATCTTTTAATTTGTATTCTAAACAAAATGTGTGAGGAATACTCGATATAACAATGTTAGAGTAAACTCATTTGCTTCATTCATTCGAAAAAATTCTATAAGCATTGTTCTCATCATATTTTCATTGCCAATAACAATAGATAAATCATCTTGATTATTATATGTTACTTGTTGATGGTTTTGAACATGAAGTTGTAGAGAATAAACAGTAGGATACAATTCTGAAAAATTGAAAGAAAAAATTCTCCACATAACTTCAGGTGGAGATATCCATCCAGTAGATTGATAAGCAGATATTTTGTAAATTTGTTACTCTGTATAATTTGTACGAATTGAGAAATTAATACGATCATGTCATTTGTGCACATATTTGTACAAATATTTTACAATTTTAATAGAAGCGTACACATATTTTACAAATATTTTACAACTTTAATAGAAGCACAAACTTCAACATTAATGTGGCAATCAAATTTTATACTTAAATAAGGATTATATAGTGCAACCCATCGATCGTCCAACATTTGGCCTCTAACTTTAACAGAGATTCCATTATTACTACGTTTATACAAAGAGTATGAGTGTGTTTGGTAGGGATTTTTGAGGGAATAATTGATTTTTGAATAGTGATATGATGGGAAATGTGTGGTTGAAAAAGAAGAAAAAATTATTGATGTGATGAAAAATATTATTTTATTGAAAAATGTGTGGTTGAAAATGAGAATTGAGTTATTTTGGTAGGGATTTTTGAGGGAATAATTGATTTTTGAATAGTGAT